GTATACTCTTGACAGCTGGAACAAGTTTCAGCCCCTCTGTCTGTCGACCCTGTCCATTGAAGATTCGGAAGACGTATATATCTTTGGCATTTTGGTGGTGGGAATCCTCCTGTTTGGGTTTGGAGCGATCCTGTTCTACCACAAATTCGGTGGCATGGCAGTTCGCAAGATTCACGACCTGCTGGCCGACAAAATTGATGGGATGTACAAGGAGCTAAGCCGTGTCGTGGTTGAGAGTGCCGTGTCTGGACAAAGGAGAGTGGTGTTGGTGGAACAGTTGATCAAAGATCTCGCAGCTCGTTCACTCGATGGGCATAAAACTCTGGAATTGAGATTGAATGACATTGTTTGTCAGGCTTGAACTCTCTGACCCGGCTTGGATTTGCCCCTGTGTACGGAGGTCTGAGGGCGCCGTAATTCGGTTTAATTGGAATTAATAGAATATCTTCCTGCTTTTGATGCTACATTGCATATAATATTGTCCCTCTCAGGCGATGTGTGTTTCTCCTGCTGTGTCTTCTCCCCACTCTTATCTCACATTCCTTGACCAAGGCCATAAACAAGGTCCCACAATCTACAACAACTCACACTTTTTCAGTCTCCAGCAAGGATCCCTCACCCCCGCCTCCCTCTACCTATCCATCTTGCTCCCTCCCTCCCCTCCATTCCTTATTGTTTTCGTACTCACCCCCTCCCTGATCCCGCCCCCCTCTGACAGCTACATTGGGCCGGCCGCCGGAGGTGCTCATCCCGAGAAAAAAATCCGTGGTTTATAAAAAGCACAATGTGTCTATCCAATTGTCTGTGAACTGTATGTTATTGCTCTCTGCTGTTTCTTGCTGCACACAGCGCCGCAAATGGCGAAGTGGCACGCTCTCTGCCAAGACAATTTCCAAGTGATAACTTTGTTACTCACGTGGCAATAAAAATGATTCTGATTCTGATTATATGATATTGGTATGTTATATGAAATTGGTATGTTTTATGATATTTGTACGTTATATGATATTGGTATGTTATATGATATTGGTATGTTATATGATATGCATATGTTATATGATATTAGTATGTTATATAATATTTGTATGTTATATGATATTGGTATGTGTTATGATATTGGTATGTTATATGAAATTCATGTTATATGATATTCGTACGTTATATGATATTGGTATGTTATATGATATTGGTATGTTTTATGATATTGATATGTTATATGATATTGGTATGTTATATGAAATTGGTATGTTTTATGATATTTGTACGTTATATGATATTGGTATGTTATATGATATTGGTATGTTATATGATATGCATATGTTATATGATATTAGTATGTTATATAATATTTGTATGTTATATGATATTGGTATGTGTTATGATATTGGTATGTTATATGAAATTCATGTTATATGATATTCATACGTTATATGATATTGGTATGTTATATGATATTGGTATGTTATATGATATTGGTATGTTATAGGATATTGGTATGTTAAATGATATTGGTATGTTATATGATATTGGTATGTTTTATGATATTGATATGTTATATGATATTGGTATGTTATATGATATTGGTATGTTTTATGATATTGGTATGTTATATGAAATTGGTATGTTTTATGATATTTGTACGTTATATGATATTGGTATGTTATATGATATTGGTATGTTATATGATATGCATATGTTATATGATATTAGTATGTTATATAATATTTGTATGTTATATGATATTGGTATGTGTTATGATATTGGTATGTTATATGAAATTCATGTTATATGATATTCGTACGTTATATGATATTGGTATGTTATATGATATTGGTATGTTTTATGATATTGGTATGTTATATGATATCCATATGTTATATGATATTGGTATGTTATATGATATTGGTATGTTATATGATATTGGTATGTTTTATGATATTCGTACGTTATATGACATTGGTATGTTATATGATATTGGTATGTTATATGATATTGGTATGTTATATGATATTGGTATGTTATAGGATATTGGTATGTTATAGGATATTGGTATGTTAAATGATATTGGTATGTTATATGATATTGGTATGTTTTATGATATTGATATGTTATATGATATTGGTATGTTATATGATATTGGTATGTTTTATGATATTGGTATGTTATATGATATCCATATGTTATATGATATTGGTATGTTATATGATATTGGTATGCATATGTTATATAATATTAGTATGTTTTATGATATTTGTATGTTATATGATATTGGTATGTTATATGATATTTATCTTATATGATATTAGTATGTTTTATGATATTCGTGCGTTATATGATATTGGTATGTTATATGATATTCATCTTATATGATATTAGTATATTTTATGATATTCGTACGTTATATGATATTGGTATGTTATATGATATTCGTACGTTATATGATATTGGTATGTTTTATGATATTCGTACGTTATATGATATTGGTATGTTATATGATATTGGTATGTTATATGATATTGGTATGTTATATGATATTGGTATGTTTTCTGATATTCGTACGTTATATGATATTGGTATGTTATATGATATTTGTACGTTATATGATATTGGTATGTTATATGATATTGGTATGTTATATGATATTGGTATGTTATATGATATTGGTATGTTTTCTGATATTCGTACGTTATATGATATTGGTATGTTATATGATATTTGTACGTTATATGATATTGGAATGCTATATGATATTGGTATGTTATATGATATTCGTACGTTATATGATATTGGTATGTTATATGATATTGGTATGTTATATGATATTCGTACGTTATATGATATTGGTATATTATATGATATTTGTAAATGTCCCTAATAGCTCTCATTTAATTTTGTTAATATTTGCCATGATTATACTGCCATCTATTGGTGAAACGTGAAACGGAACTAACAAGCTTATTTCGTTTTGACCCGACCCCAATTCAGTGCGCACTCAGCCAATTCAGCGCCATAGACTGGCGCATTTTTCCCGGTCTCAGGTAAAATCCTTAAAATGTTAATAATTGTACAATAATATCTCGAGTAACAACATGTTAATGTATGTTTTGTATTTAAGTAGACACTGAGATGAAAGCAGTGTGTTTTGCGGCCAAGTTGAGCAATTAGCCCCTCGTGGAAGTCAGCTCACGAGGTTCGTTTCTTTTTTGTGTACTTTTATTTTCGTATACACACAAATGTATTTTAATACGTTTTTTATATGTGATTCTTTTTGTGAGCAGTTCTCATGGGTTGCAAGGGTTCCAAATACAAGAATAAACCCTGTTTTATCTACCTCGTGCTCATGCTATTTCCTGAGGGTGCTCCGCATGGGTAGACGAGACTGTGCCAGCGCCAGGGTGCAGAGGGACGACAGCGCCTCCATTAACCACGGCCACATGCACAACAAGCAACTAAAGCGGGAAATCCAGGTTTCCAAATGAATGTTGCCACAAGGACTAAGTTTATTTCATAAGTGAATAATATAAACACAAAGGTCAATTATAATAAGTAAGAAGACACAGTGTTTCATCTGTTGTTGATCTGAGGACTGAAATAATTTTCAATTGATTTTTGTTTCAAGTGTGAGATTTCATAACACTTTTAAGCAACTTTTGTTAAAGTTAGGCAAGGCAAGTTTATTTGTATAGCACAATTCATACACAAGGCAACTCAAAGTGCTGAACAAGATAGCATTAAAATCATAAATAATCACAGAACATTAAAACGAAAGATAAAAATATAAAATCCCTCAGTTGTATGCACAGCTAAACAGCACCGTTTTTAACTTGGTTTTAAACATTGTCAGAGAGGGGGCCTGTCTCACATCTTCAGGAAGATTGTTCCAGATTTTAGCAGCATGAATCTGAAAAGCAGCCTCCCCAAGTTTAGTTCTGACTCTGGGCACTAACAGGAGTCCAGTCCCTGTGCTCTTCAGAGTCCGGGCTGGTTCATATGGGACTAACATGTCACTAATATATTTTGGTGCGAGGCCATGGAGAGACTTGTACACAAGCAGAGCTGTTTTAAAGTCTATTCTCTGAGCCACAGGAAGCCAGTGCAGGGACCTGAGGACTGGACTAATGTGGTCGTACTTCCTGGTTCTAGTCAGGACTCGAGCTGCTGCATTTTGAATGTACTGCAGCTGTTTTACAGCCTGTTTGGACAGACCTGTGAGCAGGCCATTGCAGTAGTCTAACCTACTGGAGACAAATGCATGGATAAGAATCTCCAAGTCTTCTTTAGACACTATGTTTTTGATCCTGGCAATGTTTTTTAGATCGTTAAAAGCTGCTGATGTTACTGATTTGATGTGGCTATTAAAATTTAAGTCTGAGTCCAGTATTACCCCTAGATTTCTGACCTTGTTTGAAGGTTTTAGGGAGAGAGACTGTAGGTGACAGATGACGCTCTCTCTTTGTTTCTGGGGACCAAAGACAATCATTTCCGTTTTGTCTGTGTTTAGCTGAAGGAAGTTGTTTTGCATCCACTCACTGATCTGTTGGATACAGTGAAGGAGTGAGTCCACTGGTCCATGTTCTCCTGCAGTCAGTGAGACATAGATCGTCTGCATAGTTGTGATAGGACACTTTGTTTCTGCGTATTAACTCTTTCAGTGCCAATGACGCATATTACGTCAATTCAAGATCTATGCTTGTGTGCCATTGACGCATTTTATGCAATTGACGTGTTTTGGTGTATTCAGATCCAGACGCATCCATTCTATCATATATCTCTGATCGGGACTGTTTGACAGTATTTTATTCGGCCAGCAGATGTCAGTAGCCTCCTTTAGCTCTTCGATCAGGCATAAAAGGAACCGGAAGCCCAGATCTCATTGTGGGAGTAGGTTGGTTAGAGTGAGCACAAGAGAGTAATCGGGAGAGCGAATATGAGCAGAAAGCGGCAGCTAACGATGGAGGAGGCGTTTGGTGCTGGTGGTACCATCAGAAGGTCGGTGGGTGATGGCCATGAGGAAGGTGGAGGTGATCTGCCTCGGCCTTCAGTTGGCAAAAAGCCTGAGGCTACGGCTAAAGCTAAGTCTAAACATCTGGCCGTTGGCGGGAGTCCTTGCCGCGCACGTCGCTCCAGAGCCGCCGCACGCAGTTCCAGTGGTCCACGTCGGTCCAGAGAAAGTTCCTCGACGGATACAGGCTCTTCAGAGCTATGGGAACCTGAAGCTGACCCAAACAGCAGTGACTCATCCCCCGATTCCCCCAGAGCAACCGGCAGAGCAGGTAATGCATACATTATACATATGCATTTAGCAATGAAATAAAAGTATTCTTGTATAATTCTCATGATTGTATTTGTGTGTATTTCTAGTAAGCAGAGTGCTGGGCCAATCCAGGAGTACTAATACTGGTAAAAGGAGGCCTACAGGTAAATAAAATACTCATATATGTATGTATATATGCATGTGTGTGTATATGTATGTGTATAATATGTATGTATGTGTGTGTGTGTGCGTGTGTCTCTGTGCGTGTGTCTCTGTGCATGTGTGTCTGTGTGTGTTTTGGATATGTGCGTCTGTAGATGTATATGTATTTGGATATGTGTGTATATGGATAGATGAGTTATTGTACAATTCTATACAGGCGCTACATTGAGCAGAGGCGCTGCCAGCGTGAGTGCTGCAAATACAGGTGTGAAGAAAAGAGGTAGGAATATCTTTCTCTACATCACATCAAATCAATAAAACGAGCTCTATTTGATTCCTATTTATTGTATACATTTCCATAATTTATTACAGTTGCAAAGGGTAAAGGCGGCACCTGGCGGAAATCCGGATGGAAACCCACTGTGTTCCCCTTCACTGCAACGCCTGGTCCCCTGAACGCGGCAGCAGAGCTGGAGTCCACCTCGCCTGCTGACTTCCTGGAGCTGTTCCTCACGGACGAGCTGCTCCAGCACATCACAGAGCAGACCAACCTCTATGCTCAACAGCATTTCCTGGCAAACCCAGAGATTCCGCAACACAGCAGAAAGCATGCATGGAGACCAGTGACCATTCCAGAGATAAAAAAGTTCTTTGCATTATCTTTCCTCACTGGTGTTATCCACAAGCCAACCCTGGCAATGTATTGGAACGTGGATGAGATGTTTGTGACCCCGTTCTTCACTAAAATAATGTCCAGGAACCGGTTCCAACTCATATGGAGGTTCCTCCATTACAATGACAACTCTGCAATTGATGTAACTGACAGGTTATACAAGGTTCGCCCAGTCTACGACTACCTGATCAATAAATTCAAGGTAATGTTCCAACCCGGGCAGAATATTTGCATAGATGAGGGGATGTTGCTCTGGAGAGGACGGCTGGCCTTCAAGGTCTACAACCCACAGAAGCCCATAAAGTATGGAATAAAGTCCTATGTGCTCTGCGACTCTGCCACCGGCTACTGCTTTAACCTGCAGCCCTATGTTGGTGACCCCCGCACGATCCCTGACATTGTTTTTTCTCTCCTTGACCGTCTCCCAGGTGCCGGCCACACTCTGTTTATGGACAACTATTACAATTCTGTGGCATTGTCTGAGCAGTTGATGGCAGTAAAAACAAATGTGTGTGGGACGCTAAGGAAGAACCGGGGAGAGCCTGAGAGCATTAGGGACGTGACCAAGACTGAGCTGAGTGTGGGGGGGAGAGTCGCGGTGAACAATGGGAAGGTCATGGTTCTGGCGTGGCGGGACAAACGGATTGTCAAGATGTTGACAACATGTCACCATGACAATATGACGAGTGTCGACGTTTGGCAGCGAGGACAGAGGGAGAAGGTGTCTGTCCTAAAACCGGAGTGTGTCGATGCCTATAACTCCTCCATGAATGGCGTGGATCGATTGGATCAGAACATAAAATATTACCCGTTCGTCCGGAAGTCTCTGAACTGGACCAAAAAATTTGTAGCTTACCTGTTCCAAATCGCAATGTACAATGCCTACACTCTCTACAGAGCCAGGAACGGGAACCGGGAATACAAAACCCTCTTGGAATTCATGCAGGGGGTCATGAGGTCCTGGACATTGAAGGTCCAGGATGAGGACGAGGAGGACATCGAGGACGAGGAGGACGAGGAGGACGAGGAGGACGAGGAGGACATCGAGGACATTGAGGACAAGGAGGACGAGGAGGACCACAACGAGGAGAACGAGTCGATCGTTGCATGTGTGGAGGAAGGAGCACCACGAAACCCCAGGGCTCCATATAACACTGATCCAGAGAGCAGGCTCGATGAGGGTGCCAGGCACAAAGTGGAGTACCTGCTGTCCTCCGGCTCGAAGACCAGACCCTCGAGGAGATGCAGGGTCTGCATGCGCAAAGGCCTGCGCAGTGAGACCAGGATGTGGTGCAAGGCATGTGGTGTCCCCTTACACAAAGGAGAGTGCTTCACAAAATATCATACACAACAAGATTACACTATATAGACAGAGACACATGCACGCACACATGCACGCACACACGCACACTCTCAGCCAATCAGCACTTTATGTATATAGTTATTTGTTTGTAATTTATGTTTGTACATTTCTTATTCTGTGTTGAGTATTATTCTGTGTTCTGAGTATTATTTTGCTATCAAAAGCACTTTATTTTGAGTCATTTCCCTTATTTTATACATGGGAAGAATGTTCTGTTGTGTGAGAAATGACTAAAGTAAAAAAAAAACTTTTCAAAGTCACTTTTCTGCATTGTTTGCTTATTTTCACAAACACCTCATTTTCTCAGCTTTATGTCGGAAACTGATGATTTCTGTGAAAAGTTTACCTTACTCCAATGGTGATTACAGAAGAACTAAAGCCGATAGAAACACACTTATTTTTTCTGAGTAAACTAGAGGGTTCAATCTTTCAGAATATGGTCTCAGATTTAAGCTAGTCATAGCAGAACATATTCTATGGGTCTTTAAAAGTCGGTGAAAATCAGCAAAACGGCTGGCACTGGAGGAGTGATGTTCTGAAAATGTCTGGCACTGAAAGAGTTAACTGACCTAACGGCAGCATGTAGAGATTGAACAGAAGAGGTCCCAGGATCGACCCCTGTGGGACTCCACAGGTCAGGGCCATATGATCTGAGACACAGTTTCCAATCTCCACAAAGTACTTCCTGTCTTCAAGGTAAGACCTAAACCAACTTAGGGCGGTGCCAGCGACGCCAACCCAGTCCTCTAGTCTCTGTAAGAGGATCTCATGGTCGACGGTGTCAAAGGCAGCACTCAGATCTAACAAGATTAAGATTGAGACTTTGCCTGCGTCAGTGTTCAGCCGGATATCGTTTGTAACCTTGACAAGAGCAGTCTCAGTGCTGTGGTGGGGTCTAAAGCCGGACTGAAACATATCAAATGAGTTGTTGATAATAAGAAATCTAGTAAGCTGTAGGTAGACAACTTTTTCAAGGACTTTCCCCATAAATGGCAGATTTGAGATGGGACGATAGTTGTTAAGTACCGTAGCATCCAGACTGCTCTTTTTTAGCAGGGGCCTGATGACTGCAGTTTTCAGGGCCTTTGGGAATATTCCAGAATTAAGGGACATGTTTATTATCTGTGTGAGTGAAGGTAACAGACTGCTCAGAACAGACTTTAGAAATCTAGTGAGTAGTACATCCAGGCTGCATGTGGAGGAGCTCAAACTGGAAATTGTCTCTTGGACAGTTTGATCATTTACAGGTGCAAAGTAAGTTAGCTCAAAGAGCCTTTCTGGCTGTTGGATTGTTATCTGTGGATTGGAGACAATGGCGTTTTTGATGCCTTGAACCTTGTCATTGAAAAAATGTGCAAACTCATTACATTTACGTTTGGAAGTTAGCTCTAATGGCATTTGAACAGGGAGGTTTGTTAATCTATTAACTGTTGAAAACAGAACACGCAGATTGTTGCTGCAGCCTTCAATCATTTCAGAAAAATACCTTTCTCTCGTACTACGTAGCACCTGGTTAAACTCGCACAACTTATCTTTGAAGATCTTGTAATCAACCTGGAGGTTGGACTTGCGCCACTTCCGCTCGGCCCTTCGGCACTCTCTCTTTTGTGCCCTGACCGAGTCTGCTTTAGCCCACGGCACCTTCTGCTTATTTTTCACTATTCTAACCTTCACAGGAGCGATGGTGTCCAGAACTTTCAAAACACTAGAGGTGACAGAGTTAAACATTTCATCTACAGTAGAATACAATGCATTCTCAAAGTTTATCATTCCCATAAATAGTTCACCCGTATTTTCATTTATGTGTCTTCTTCGTACAGTTGCAGAGTCCACTGGTGGTTTGTTAGTAAAACACATGTCAAAAAATATACAAAAATCCGAAAGCGCAACATCGACCACGTTTACATTAGAAATGTTCACCCCCTTTGTAACTAACAGGTCTAGAGTGTGCCCTCTGCTGTGGGTTGGGCCACTCACATGCTGAGTGAGACCAAAAGATTCAAGAACAGAACTCAGCTCTTTAGCATTTCTGTCATCAACATTATCCACATGAATATTAAAATCACCTGTAATAACTAAACTATCAAAATCTGTGCATACAATTGAAAGCAACTCTGTAAAATTATCAATAAAACTGTGACATGACTGCGGTGGCTTGTATAGGACAACGAAAAGTATTGGAGGAGATTGTTTTTGTTGTATTTTAAAAGACACATATTCAAAAGACGGAAACTTCCCAAGAGACATTCTATGGGAGACAAAGTGGTCTCTGAAAATGGCAGCTAAGCCTCCTCCTTTTTTGTTTTCCTGTATTTCAGATTCAAATTTGAAATTTGGTGGTGATGCTTCTATTAAAACTGCATTTTCTGTATTTTGGTCAAGCCATGTTTCAGCCATGAACATAAAATCTAGATTATAAGAACAAATAAAATTATTGATTAAAAAAGACTTGTTACAAAGAGATCTGACATTTAGCATAGCAAGTTTCAAAGTTTCAGGATCAGCGGTTGTGGTCGGCTGATTCTTACACGGAACAAGAATTAGATTTTCCTGATTAGACTGATTAACTTCAGAGGTTTTTCTGTTATGTATTCTTTGTGTTACCACTAAGGGAATAGCACAGGTGGCTTCATGACAGGGCCCCAGCCGGGTCTCTCCTCTAACTAGACTGCCAGTGGCTGCGAAGCAGAGACCCTGTGCATCCTAGTGTTTAGAGAAAAGAGGGGAAGGGGAAGGCGGGGGAAGAGGATGGAGAGGAGGGTGGTTCTTGGGAGTTGGACGGGGGGGGTTGAAGGTGGATGGGTTTTTGGTGATGGGTTAGGAGAGGGGCAGGCTGAGTTGGGTGGTGGACGAGGGGGGAGTGGAGGTGGAGGGTTTCTTGGTGCTGAGTTAAGGGGGAGGTGGGCTAAATG